GGGGGGGGGGGAGGGCGGCGGGCCCACAATCCCCCACGCGAAGCGGGGGGCCGAGGGGAAACGGGGGACGGCAGCGCGGCACCCCGCGCCCCACGGCGCTGCCACCGCTCCGTACCTGCCCAATGCGCTCACAAAGCAGCGGCGGCGGCGGCGCCCACCCGCGTCACGTGATCGCCCCTCGCGCCGCTCCCTCCTCCTCGCCTCCACGCGCGCGCGAGGCCGCTCCCCCGCCACGTGACGTGGCGCGACGCCGCACGCGCGCTCGCCCGCCCGCCGGCTCCTCGCTCCCTCCCCGCCCCCTCTCTCCTCGCGCCGCGGCCGCGCCTCGCTCCTCACGCACCACCAGCGCGCGCCCATCCGCCGTCCCTTCCGCCTACCCCCGGCACCACGTGAGCAGGGCGAGGGAGCCCGGCCCTTTCCCCTTCACGTGACCGGGGCTCCACCACCCCGCTCGCCGGAAGCGGGCGACCGGGCCCGCCCACCGGAGCTGAGGGGCGGGCGGGGCGGGGCGGTGCTGCGCGCGTTCGGCGTTGCGCTCAGCTGGGCGGTGCGTTTGAAGTACTTGCGGTTTTGTTGAACCTGGCTTCCTCTCCTCCAGACTAAGCAGTCCCGGATCCTTCAGCCGCCCCCACACGATTCGTGCTCCAGCCCCTCCGCAGCTTCACGCCTGCTCTGGACGCCGTGCTCTGCTCCACGGCCCCAACGGCCTTCTTGAAGCAGGTGGCCCAAAACTCAACGAACGCCCATGCGGGTCTCTGGGCTCTGTCCATTACCATCAGTGCTTCACGCCCAGACAGTGCTTTGGGTTTCCCAGAGCTGCCCTGTTCCTCCTCCACTCGATGTACTGGAGACGTCGTCACAGGCGTGTCAGGTATCCCAGACGGAATCCAAAGACTCATTTGCATCTGTCAGTGTATTTGCTGAGAGCACTGCCTGAACAGTCTTCAGGTGGGAAAATTCTGCACTTACCTTAATACTTGTGGGTGGTGTGGTGGTGGAAGAGGCTGCCCATTCCTGCAGGCACTCCAGGTCAGGCTTTAGGGCTCTGAGCATCTGATGGAGCTGTGGGTGTCCCTGCTCACGGCAGGGGAGTTGGAACAGATGACCTTTAAAGATTCCTTCCAACTCAATTGTTTCCCGATGTTTCTATGATCAATTTTGTAATCATTAGGTGCTTTCACCAGGCTGAACACAGGGAGGCACCCCACTGATGTGGAGGAATCCCAGAAGGCACCATGCCAAGTGATGCTGCAGTGCCAGCAGGAAAGGGAAGAGGATGCCACAGACTGATGGAGAGCAGCGGGGCTGACACAGCAGGGGGTGGCAGCACTTGGTGCAGTTCTGGCTGTGCCCCTCTGCCCCTGGCAGATTCCGTGGTGAGAGGACAGGGTTGGTAAAGATAATTGGCGAGTGTTTGTTTAGCCTCTGGTAGATCCGATGATACATCTCGTGATTTTGACATTTTCAGTGGTCTTGTTTCCTTTGCTTGTTTGCTCACCCTTTGTCCTTTGGCCTCCTTGTGAATAGAGAGGACATCAAATCGCTTTTTTCTATAAGCAATATTTGAACAATAGTCGATGCTGTTTGTGCTTCTGCCCTTCCAGCTTAGACAGAGCCGAAAGGCAAAAGTGGCTTGCATCCTTGATTTCCATTGTATGGGTGGGTAGGAGCTGTAACAGTTCCTACAGCTTGGAAGATGTAAGACATCCCCATTTCCACCTTTTCCCAATAAGATACAAGTTCTTTAGAAAAATCAAAATTCAGATCAAACAGTGCACAGATAGTTTTGATTTCTGGAGGCAGCTGTTGATATTTTATCTTATTACTTTTGGGGGAGAGAATAGGCTATAGCTCTAAACAAGGTTTTGCAGGCTTTCTGACAAACATATTCACAGCTCCATAATCTGTGTAGATTTAATCAGTATTATTAGCATCCTTTCATCATGACTTGGCAATCCTTAGCTAATCAGTATGGATATTTGATGTGTAGCATGCAACGACAAAGTCTCAGAACTCTTGGGATTCTCTTGTCAAATGATACAGTGCCAGCTGGAAGGTGTCTCCAAATATCACACAGAATCCAGCTTAGGAACATTTGGAATGAGAGACAATTAAACAAGGATACCAGGGAGAAAAAAAAAAAAAAATCCACCGACTTTGTGGATTTCTCTCTGCTATACATGGAATAATTACAAAAGAGAAAATAGCACATTTCAGCTCAAAAGCTTCCAGAGAACTGAAGTAATAAAATGATGCAGGCTGAAGTCAGAGACCTTTGCTGTAGCTGTTCAGCACATCTGGAATGGAGAACCTACATTAAGCACAGCAAAGGCTTGACCAGGCTTGGCAGGCAAATCCTCCCTACTTAGATATTTAATTCACTCCCTTCTGCTCATGTCAGCACTTTATCTGACATTTCTGTGACCTTTCCAGTTTTCCCCGTTACTAGAGAATAATCCATTGAAGGTGCAAATCCCTCCAGACCATATGTTTAAGCTCACTTCAGGGTTGTTTTTCTTAGTCACCTACTGCAGATGCCTTACATAGTTGGCTGAAAACCATCATTTTAGTGTGTTGGTGTTGGCCAGTAACACTTAAGGGGGATAAATGCTAAAGTTAAGAATATCACCCTGTTCCTGATTCAGAAGTCTGCTCTACTTCTGCATTACAGGCAATAATCATAGCATGGCTTGAGTTGGAAAGGACCTTAAAGATCACCTAATTCCTGCCGTTGGCTGGTTGTCCCACTAGACCAGGCTGCCCAGGGCTCCACTCAACCTGGCCTTGAATGCCTTCAGAGATGGGCATGCACAACTCCTCCGGGCAGCCTGTGCCGGGGCCTTAACACTCTGAGATCTCCCTGGAGCCTTCTCATCTCTAGAATAAACAAGCCCAACTTCCTCCAATTTTCTTCATAGGAGAGGTGTACCAGCCCTCTTAGCATCTTCATGGCCCTCCTCTGGACCTACTCCACAGCTTTGCCAGGCATAGATTCAGTTCTCCAGATGGGGTCTCAGAAGGACAAACTAGAGAGAGACAATCATCTCTCTCTCCCCACTGGCCACCCATCTGTTGATGCAGCCAAGGAGACTGGCTGCAAGCATGCACTGCTGGCTTGTGTCCTGTTTTTCATCTTCAGGATGAAATGATGAATTCACCAGTACCCTCAAGTCCTTCTCTGCAGGGCTGTACTCAATGAGTTCTTCTCCTAGTCTGTGTTAATGTCTGGAATTGCCCTAGCCCAAGTGCAGCACCTCAGTGGGTTCACAGAGTCCCACTTTCAAGCTTTTCCAGATCTCTCTGGATAGCATCCCTTTCTTCTGTCATGTCAACTGCACCATTCAGCTTGGAGTAATCAGCAAACTTGCGAAGGGTGCATTCAATCCCAGTATCTAGGTCATTGGTAAAGATGTTGAAGAGTACAGATCTGGAGATGGAACTCTGAGGCATGCCACTTGTCACCAGTCTCCACCTGGCCATAGAACTGTTGACTGCAACCCTCTGGCTAATCCTTATCCACAGTCAGCTCTTCAAATCCACATATTTTTCAGTGCTGCCTGTAGCCCTTGGTCCAGGTGTTCTCACCTTGACATCTGACTACAAAAGCAGATGATGTGTTTAGATGGTGTGTTTTCACGAGACTAAATTCTGGAATTGCTCTGTACTGCATTATCCCCCTTGTTATTTTATTTTCCTCCTTTTTTTTTTTTTTCACAGTTTAGAGGTAAGGATATGGTGTGGGACCGTGCCAGATGCTTTGCTCGAGTCCAGGTAGATGACGTCAGTTGTCCTTCCTTTGTCTGCTGGTGCTGCCATTCCATCACAGACGGCCATCAGATTGATCATGCATGATCTGCCACAGGTGAAGCCGTGCTGGCTGTGCTGAATCAGCTGCTCATCTCAGACGTGCATTGACATGTCTTCTGGGAGGATTAGTTCCATGATCTTATCAGGCACAGAGGTGAAGCTCATCACCCTGTAGCTCCCCAGGTCTTCCATTCCAAGCGATGTTTCCCTTTTTCCCCGGGCACTTCCCCTGGCAGCCACAACTTTTCAGATATGGTGGAGAGTGGCTTGGCAGCCACGCCAGCAGGCTCCATCAGAACCCTGGGATGCATGTCATCTGGCTCCATAGACTTGTACATATTAGTGAAAAGCACCTATTATTCACAGCCTTGGGCTGCAGGAGGTCCTCCCTTCTAATAAAATTGCTGCTCTTCTCTGGAAAAGGCTTGTAAGGCCTTAATCCATGACATCTGCATCAGTTGCACTCTGTTGTCAGAAGGCACTCCAGTAACCTCAGAGAGCCATTATGATTCCGTTGTACTCAGATTCTTTAAGAGGAATGGTTTCATGTACAGGAACCAAGTTTGACTTTCAGATTTCAGGTGAGTTTGTAGAGAAATAGGAATTCTCTCCCATTAGGGTGGAACTACTGAAAGTCTTGAATTCAAAGTGAAAGAGTGTCAAGAGATGATGCCCTTGAGTGCACAAGGGATTGCTGCTGCATTTGTATTTGAAGTGAGCCTCCAAAGATAATGTCAGGAAATGGAGGTATGTGTTTGATTGTGTTAACGTGCATGCCAAAGCAGGGCTTCAACAACATTTGTTCTGCAAAGGTAACTGAGCTTTCAGTGCCCTTCTAGTATATATGCCATTCACTGATTCATGGCATTAAAGGCAGAAAGGGTGATGATATAATTGTCTGCTTCTCATATAGATCAGGTCATTAAAATTCCTGACATTCATGGGCTGCATTAGTCTGTCACATCTCAGCATCACCCTGCAAATTGATGCTGGGCTGCCTGATCATCCCTTCAGCATCACTTCATACCCAGAGACAGACCCTCTTCTGTAGGTGCTGCCTGTAGCCCTTGGTCCAGGTGTTCTCACCTTGACATCTGACTACAAAAGCAGATGATGTGTTTAGATGGTGTGTTTTCACAAGACTAAATTCTGGAATTGCTCTGTACTGCATTATCCCCCTTGTTATTTTATTTTCCTCCTTTTTTTTTTTTTCTTCACAAAATATTTGCAGTGACTTTGTGTTTACTTCCAGATAACTGAGGAGACTTTAACAAACCTGGGTCTGATGAAGGTCCTGCAGAGCCGCACTGTAAGCGCTCATTTTGGGGAAGATGTTGGCAGTTATTCTGTGCAGTGCACGCTCTGCTGATGGTGAGTGCTGAGTTCATTCTGTCATACTCCCCAGTTTAATTCTGTGACATGCACACTGTTACCTTTATCAGCCAAAGAATCTCTGAGAATTAAGCAGGCTTTTTTTAACAAGGCTTTTTTTTTTTTTCCCCACACAAACCTGTTTCTTGGATTAATTTTATGTCTAGTCATGTATTGCATATAAATCAAGAACCTTGTTAGATTTCCATTATTTTGCCTGTGACATCAAGGAAAATAGTCTGCGGGTGTCTGGTCACCACTCTGTGCCCAGCTCAAACACTGGCATGCTTCCAGACTCTTACAATTTCCCAAGATTAAAATTATCACCTTGAAGCCAGACATTTTTCTGGGCAGGTTTTAAAGGACTCTCGGGTGTAGGCACCCAGGGTTAGTGATAGAAACCATTTCAGACAGTCAGATGTAACTTCTCACTACTCAGACTGTAAGGTAACAACCAGCTGTGCGCTCTGCTGGATGTTGCACTGGTCTCTCATCCTGCTTCTTACTGGATCAGATATTCTTGGAACACTATTATTTTTATAATCCTGTTAATGTTTCTAAAACCATCTACGGGAAGGTTAATACAATTACTAGGAACTGTTCTTTAAGAAGTAATCAGTTCTTACAAGCAAAAAAACAAAAATCCTTTTGCTGCTGTAGCTTATACCAGTTCATCTAGCAGAATAATGTAAAAGAATGTATCTGTTCCATTTTTGGTTCAAGTTACAGCAATACGCAGTTTATCAACCAAAGACACCTGCTGTTTACATGGGAGTACATTCTGGTCTGGCAGATTAGCAAAGCTGCAGTGCCCCACAGAAGCAAAGCTACTTCATTTACCAGACCACATTCATATCAATAAGATCTGCTAGAGGCTTTCAGCCATCCTTGCATAATGTCCTACAGTGCTTCTTTCAGTGCCCACAAAACATCTGTCATTATGTGCTGGATGCCTAGTGGAATCTCAGCTCTCCCTTACATCAGATGATGGAGATGTGCCCATATTTGTTTGGTA